GCCCGGTGACGGCGGGAGCCCGGCGGTGCGGCCCGGGATGGCGCAGGCCAGCCTGGATCAGGCCCGCAAGAGGCCGGCGCCGCAGCAGCTCCAGCAGGTGCAGCCGCAGGCCGTGCCCAACCGCAACCACAAGTAAGGGCAGCCGTTGCGGGGCATCGGGGTGTCTCAGGGCCTTCTCGGGCACTGGGGGTGTTCCAGGGCGTCCCTGGGTATTGGGGTGTCTCAGGGCATTGTCGTGTCTCAGGGCATCATTGGGGACATCCCTGGGCATCGGGGTGTCTTGGGACATTCTGGGGCAGCGGGAGCATCCCGGGGCGGTGGGGTGTCTCGGGCCATCCTCGAGCACTGGGGACATCCCTGGGCATTGAGATGTCTCAGGGCTTCCTCTGGCACTGGGGGCATCCCGGGGCATCCCTGGGCAGCGGGGTGTCTCAGGGCATTGTCGTGACTCAGGGCATCGTTGGGGACATCCCTGGATATTGGGGTGTCTCAGGGCATAGTCAGGTCTCAGTGCATCATCAGGGACATCCCTGGTTATTGGGGTGTCTCAGGGCATTGTCGTGTCTCAGGGCATCGTTGGGAACATCCCTGGATATTGGGGTGTCTCAGGGCATCGTCGGGGACATCCCTGGATATTGGGGTGTCTCAGGGCATTGTCGTGTCTCAGGGCATCGTTGGGAACATCCCTGGATATTGGGGTGTCTCAGGGCATCGTCGGGGACATCCCTGGATATTGGGGTGTCTCAGGACTTCCTCAGGCATTGGAGATATCATGGGAGAGCAGGGCTTCCCTGGGCAGCAGGGACATCCCAGAGCATCCCTGGGCATTGGAGCACTGCAGGGAATTCCGGGACATCCCTGTGCATTGGGAACATCCCAGGATGTCCCCAAGCATCGAGGTCTCTCTGGACATCATGGGGTGTCCCTGGGTATCAGGGTGCATCTTAGGGCATCCCAAGATGTCCCCAGGTGTTGGGGAGTTCTCGGGACACCCTGAGGTGTCTCACGACATCCCCGGGGGGGGCACAGATACGTTGCCTCTCTCCCCAAAGGGCCCCAGGGGCAAGGTTGGATTTGAGGGTGTGGGTGGGCACCCCCAGAATCAGAAAGTGAGGAGTGAGTCCTCACTGAGGTGAGGACCTTGCAGGGCAGGGGGGACTGTCGGTCACTGGTGTGGTGGGATGGGCTGGTGACACAAAGTGTGGGAGCTCTGCCATCCTGCCATGCTTGGGCTTTTGGAAGAAACAGCTTCAGATTGCACCAGGGGAGGTTTAGGCTGGATATTGGAATTTCTTCGCTGAAAGTGTTGTCAGGTACTGGAGGAGGCTGCCCAGGGAAGTGGTGGAATCGCCATCCCTGGAGGTATTTAAAAGCTGGGCAGACGTGGTGCTGAGGGATGTGGCTTAGTGGGGGTTTGGGCAGTGCTGGGCTGATGGTTGGACTCGATGACCTTAAAGGTCCCTTCCAACCTTGATGGTTCCATGATGCTAACAGTGGTGTTTCATCCTTGATTTAAAACGCAGCTCCTAGAAAAGTCAGTCTAAGGCTAATGGAGGCAGGGAGTCATTCTGTCAGGGCACGCTTTCGAACTGGGTGTAGTTCTGCTTTCAGAGCTCTCGTAGGGGATGAGGAACGTTCAGGTGATCGGTCCATGTCACAGCCACAGGGTTCCTCAGCTCTGCCGTGCCGGAGGCCTGGCAGGGGCTGTGGGGGATAGAGAGCCTGACTCTGCGCTGATGATAACGATAATTGCCTCTGAAAGTGGGAGCCTGGGCACAAGGCTGAGCGCAGGGGCAGTGCCCCAGTGCTAAACCAGAGAATACGCCGTCGTCTTGCTCCCTTCCCGAAAGCCAACAGTTCGTTTGCACTAAGTGGTTGCTGTTTTAATGCTTGTGTGTGCGTCTGCTTCCTCGACAGTGCTAAAAAGAAGAAGATGGCTGACAAAATTCTACCTCAGAGGGTGAGTGGCACACGCAGCCGCGGCCTGTGTTGGCACGGAGCAGAGTGGGGAGGGGAGGGGAAGCTGAGGGTGATTTGCATTCTTGATTGGCTCTAGATCCGGGAACTCGTACCCGAGTCTCAGGCCTATATGGACTTGCTGGCCTTTGAAAGGAAGTTGGACCAGACCATCATGAGGAAGCGCTTGGATATCCAGGAGGCTTTGAAACGACCCATTAAGGTGGGGGAAAGCTGCGTTCGTAGTGATGATAAGCAAGGTTTGGAGGCTCTTATTTCAGTTAGTAGAGCAGGAGGGCACTGAAGCTTGATTCACGTCCCTCTGAGCGTGGCGTATCAGGAATCCTAACACTCCAGACATGACCAAGGAGTGGAACCAGAAATGGCTCTTTCCTTGCTGGTCTGCCCTGGGAGAGGGGGAATATGAGGCAACTGAAAACATTAAGCTTAGTTTAAGCAAAACATAAGTAAGACAGTCAGCAAGATTTCGGAATTAACATTGAGCTGATGCTTTTTTCTCTTAGCAAAAACGAAAGCTACGTATTTTTATCTCCAATACCTTCAATCCAGCCAAGTCGGATGCAGAGGATGGTGAAGGAACAGTCGCCTCCTGGGAGCTTCGAGTGGAAGGACGGCTGCTGGAAGATGTAAGTGTGAGACACCCAACCACAGAGGTGACTTTATGGGTCTGGGATTGGCGATGAAACCAGTTTCCTAGTGTCTTGAGAGCATAGCTTCGGGCTTGATATCCCCCTTCATCTCTGTTTTCTAAGGAATCTGATGGTGAAGAGACCGAGAGCCCAACTTGGAGACCGATGGTGTCCCCTTGGCAGGACACGAGTTATACAAAGTTCTTAGAGCTATAAGAATGGATGGTGAGAGCCCATCAGTGGCACTTGTGTACCCTGGCTCTGAGGACCAGGGCACTTGCATTGTATGTTATTGCTGAGTGATTTAATTCCTGCAAGCTCATCTTTAACTCCAGTCTTGCACTTTCTGACTTGGAACTTGATTTTCAAGCACATGTTGGTGATTTTAGGTGTTCAGAACTTAAAGGAATGCTGTTGTGCACGGTGGCTGTGCTTGAGTGCTGAGACTTGCTGTCCTAACGCTTTTCCTTTCTGTGTTGCTTGCAGTCTGCTTTGTCCAAATATGATGCCACCAAGCAGAAAAGAAAGTTCTCATCCTTCTTTAAATCTCTGGTCATTGAACTTGATAAAGACCTGTATGGCCCTGACAATCACCTAGTAGAGGTGAGCTTCTTTTTCCTGTGTTACTTCTAAAAATGGGTTGGTGTTTCAGCAGACAGCGTTTGTATTTCACTTGTAACTTGAGAGGTGGGGATACTTAAGGCTTGAACAAGTGGCTGGGGGCCAGGAGCTCTTGAATTCTTATCTCAGCTTTTCCTCTGACTTGCTGGGGGTCTGAACCCTTGTTCCAAGCTGTAAGTGAAAATGAGGTGAACTTTCTAGAGGTGGGTGGGATTTACTGACAAGCTTCTTGGGTGCCAAGCAGCAGGAGCAGAGGGAACCCAGCACAGGGATGTTTCTGAATGCCCTCTCCTGTTCAGTGGCACAGGACCGCTACGACTCAGGAGACGGATGGCTTCCAGGTGAAGAGGCCGGGAGATGTAAACGTGCGCTGCACTGTCCTCCTGATGCTGGATTACCAGGTGAGGTGTCAGGAGGAACAGTGCAGGGGGTGTGCTGTGTCACAGCTGTGCCTGTGGCCATCTCAACCTTCCTCTGCTGTTCCTTTCAGCCTCCCCAGTTCAAACTGGATCCCCGCTTGGCTCGTCTCCTGGGGATTCACACTCAGACCCGCCCGGTGATCATCCAGGCCTTGTGGCAATACATCAAGACCCACAAGCTCCAGGACCCCCATGAGCGGGAGTACGTCATCTGTGACAAATACCTCCAGCAGGTAACTGTGTGGCTGGAACAAGCCACTGTTTCACCTTTTCCTCTGTCAGCAGCCAGTGACCGCTGGCCCTGAGCTCCCATCCCTTCCTTAGCCCTGTGTTTTTGTCGCAGATATTTGAATCTCAGCGGATGAAGTTCTCTGAAATCCCCCAAAGGCTTCACGCGTTGCTTATGCCCCCAGAACCCATCATCATTAATCATGTGATCAGGTGAGACTTGTTCACTTAACTTGGTATTTCTAAGAAGAGTGGAAGGGATGGACGAGGCTGGCACAGGGAGACAATGTAATATGTTCTGGTTTTCAGCAGCAGTTCCCATGTTGCCTGCCACTGTTTCTTTGTACAAGAACAGCTCCCTCTCTCATTTCCCACATCCTTCTTTTCCACAAGGCACTCCCACCTTCATGCTGTCCTTTACTTTACACTTTTGTAGATGGAAATCTGCTTGGACCAATGGCTCAGTTCTTGTGCTGCAAAGCCATCAGTGGTGCTTTGCTGCTTGGCGTTAGAGCTGAAGCTGACACTGCCCTGGCTTGTCCCTGCCTGTGGCCCATATCCTGCCTCGTTCTAGAGGAGCTACAAGAATGCAAATTTCTTGATTTACTCACTTATTTTGTCTTCTTTCTTGTGGATGCCTCTAGTGTTGACCCAAATGACCAGAAGAAAACAGCTTGCTATGACATTGATGTGGAGGTGGATGATACCTTGAAAACTCAGATGAATTCCTTCCTGCTCTCCACAGCCAGTCAACAGGAAATTGCTGCTCTGGATAACAAGGTAGGAAAAGCTCCTTCAGGGCTTGGGAGGAATGTGTCTGTGGAGCAGGTGAGCCCTGAACAGGACAGGAGTTCACCTTTGCTCTGCTGTGCGTTTGGAAGCCAGAGTGGGGTCAGCCACACTTACAAACGGGTGGCTTAACAAGAAACATAGTTTTAAAGCAAATGGTCATTGGGAAAATGGCTCATATTTAGAGCAGGAAACTGGGAATTGAAGATCCTGTCTGAGGATAAGTCAACCAGGGAGTATAAGAATTTGGTGGCTCTCTTGATGTTTCTGTCTGACTTTTTCCCCTGTTCAGCAGTTTAGTTGCTGTGCTTATCTCCTTCAGATTCATGAAACAATAGAGACAATTAACCAGCTGAAGACCCAGCGGGAGTTCATGCTGAGCTTTGCCCGAGATCCTCAGGGCTTCATCAACGACTGGCTACAGTCCCAGTGCCGGGATTTAAAGGTAAAAGCTTTGTCTTGTGTGGAAGGTGGATCCAGTCACAAGCTTCCCTCATTATAACCAGCTCCCACAGAGAGAGAGAGAGGCAATTTTCTGCTCAGAAAATGAGACTGGAATTGGAGTCAAGCACAAGAACCTGACCTGACTGTACTGAAATGTCTGTGAGGAAAGGGGAGGGGGTGGGTTTGCTCGGCACAGCCAGAGCTTTTGCACTCCCTGAACTCGTCTTGTCCTTTGTGCTTTCCAGACAATGACTGATGTTGTTGGGAATCCTGAAGAGGAGCGTCGAGCCGAGTTCTACTTCCAGCCGTGGGCTCAGGAAGCTGTGTGCAGATACTTCTACTCCAAGGTGAGCGTCCCCGAGTAAGGAGTCCCCCTCCATACCCAGTGGCTCTGAGTACCTGTCACTCCTTGCTGTGGTGGAAAGTGGCAGTGCTGAGCTTCACTTGTAGACACAGCTGGTCCCAGTTTGAGTTTGCACTTTTCCAGCTGGGTCCCGTGTTCCTTGGGTGCTGTTGGTGCTGCACCATCTGAGTATGTTAATGCTGCTGTTCTGGCTTCTCCTGCAGGTGCAGCAAAGACGGCAGGAACTGGAGCAGGCCCTGGGAATCCGTAACACATAGGCTGCTCTGCTCCTCCCCAGCCAGAAGCATCACAGCTATTTGTGGAGACAGAGCTGCAGAGTGTGCTGTTGAGGCTCACGTAATCCCACTCCAGCAGTGGGGCCCGTGTCATTATTCATCCTGGCATTGTCCCTGTTGGGGCAGCTCCAGGACACTTGGGGTCTTCTGGGGTGTGGCAAGCAGACAGGCTCCAACGAGCACACATTTCTACCTGGTTTTTCTTCTTGACTGTTGCCTTGTCAGTCCCAAGGCTTCTTAGAGCCTCCCCTCGACTCCGCACTGCCCGTAGTGTCCCCAGTAGCCAGAAGGACTGCTGCCTTGGAGCCTTTCTCAAGTTCAGACACCACAGCCCTTCCCTCCCCAACCAGCCTCTAGTTGTGGCACAGGAGAGCTGGGTCTGGGGAGCCTGGAGCTGCCCTGAGTCCTGTGGCTGCTCTCTCCCCTGCCTGGTCCCATAGTGGGCAGGATCCATGAGCTGAGATACCTCCCTGCCCTCCCTCCCTCCCTCGGGGGTGCTGCTGCACTGGGCTGCCCCACAGCTCACTCTCCTCCTTGAGGAAGTTCCTGGACTGCGTAGAGAATTGCTTCTTCCCTTTTTCCCTGCCCTGTTCCCTTTGTGTTCTTTGACAGACTGTCCCAGGTGGGGGTCACAGGGGAGCTGAGGTGCTGGTTTGCTGCAGGGGTGGTGGAACCAGTGGGGAGATTTCCCTGCACTTCACAAGTCCTACAGCTGCGGTTCCAGGAGACCTGCTCGTTTTCCCTGTAGCAGGGAGAGGGGATGCAGCACCTGCCTGGTGGAATTGTAGGCTCATTCCTTTGGGACAGCTGCCTGTGTCACTTGCTGTGGAGACCAGAGGCTCCTTCGTGTGGACCTTGGGGGTGTGATGGGACAGTCCTTGGGGATGGACGTGGCTCCAGCATACCCGAGTTGAGCAGGTTTTTTCTGTGCTGAAGCTCCTGTGGTTTTTAGTCAAGTTTTAGGTTCTGGGGCTGCCATAAAGCCCAGCATGGTTCAGGAATGTACAAGTAGATTTTTCTCTACCGTGGGGAGTAGCGGCCCAGATGCCCCTTTATGGATGAATTACTAGTGAACTGGTGGCCAGGGGTAAGAGAACGGCTTCTCTGAACCTGGATCCCAGTATTTCTTCTCGGGACTGTAATGCAAATGGACTTGAAAGTTGGTCATATTCTCTTGGAATAGCTGCAAAAACACGTTACTGACAACCCCCCCACCCCTCATGCCCCCACCCAGCTGTGGTGTGGTTGGGAAGGTTGCTATGAAATGGGGAGCCTGGGTGGCCCCACTCCTCGTGTCTGTGTTACTACATGTCTGTGAGTAATAGACTCTCGACCTCCCTCCTCCTTTGCCCCCTTTGAAACGGCTCCTCTGTGGTACCGGGGTGAAGGTCTTGGTGCTGATGAAGCAGCCCACGCCTCCTCAGGGCACTCACACGTGAAGGATGCTGAGTACTGCGTAGGCAAGCATAGCTGTGGCAGAATAACTGCTTTTTCTTAACTGAATATTATGGTTTTTTTCCATGGACCAAAATTTTTTTTTTGTACTGTATCCTTGTAGATGTCACCCAGTTTTAATAAAAGCCTCCTGTGAAGGAAGCCTTCCTCCTCCTGCGCTGACAGCTCCCTTTCTCTCTGCAGCTGCCTTGGTGAATGACACTTCATTTACTTGCCTGGGAAGGGACAGGATTATCTCCACCTTTTTTTTTTTCTAATTTTTTTTTTTTTTTAAGGAAGCCAACTGGGTTAAGAGACTGCAGAGAAACTGTTCTTCATAGTTTGGCCTTTTATAGAGAGCCCTTCATGTACAGATCTCCTGGCTCCTGGAGTCTGCTCAGCCTTTGCAAAGTGCTTTCGTGGTAAACAAGCAAAGTATCTTGAGCAAAACTGGAAATCTAGTGGCCGAGCTGCTGATAAAATCAACGTGGACAGGCCCGTTTCCACACTCTGCTGCCTTGCAGAATTGTGGCAGCCTGTTACAAGCCCCAAGTGGGAGTTGGGCATAATTTTGAGTTAACTGTATTAAGATTTACATACAAGGGTTTAAAACTCTGAAAAGGGGCATGATGTGCTTTACCCTGCCTTGTTTGTAAAAGTAGAACTGTAACACTCTACAGAAAACCTATAAAGCCCTTGGTGGCTCCTCTGTGGACAGAAGAAAGGGCAGTTGGTGCTGCTGCCCGGGGCTGAGAGCTCAGGGCAGGAGCTGGTGCCGGGGGCTGCAGCCCCAAGGGTCCTGTTTCTTACTTTGGGGGTGGAATAAAACACTTTAGTGCAGAAAAAGGCAGGGAGAGGGCTCAGCGATCTCCTTTCCTAGTTCTGCCAAGATCAGGGTTTGAGCTTGTCCCACCTTTGCTTCAGGGCAGCCCCCGACGGCTGCCCACCCAGCAGCGGCTGTCTGTGCCCGGGAGAGCGGCCGGCGCTGCCGCCCCGGGGCTCGGTGCCCGGTTCCCCCGGGGACAGGCGGGGCCGGGGGCGGGACGGGGCCGCCCCACTCCTGGTTCTGCTGAGATCAGGGTTTGAGCTGTCCCACCTTTGCTTCAGGGCAGCCCCCGACGGCTGCCCACCCAGCAGCGGCTGTCTGTGCCCGGGAGAGCGGCCGGCGCTGCCGCCCCGGGGCTCGGTGCCCGGTTCCCCCGGGGACAGGCGGGGCCGGGGGCGGGACGGGGCCGCCCCTGCTCCGGGCGGCCTTGAAATACCACCGGCGGGCTGAGCGCCGCGCAGTGCCCCGGCTCCCCCGACCATGGGTGGCAAGAAAGTCTGCATCGTGGGCTCTGGCAACTGGTGAGCGCCCGCTGCCCGAAACCCCGCGTCCCCTCTTTTCCCCCCATCCCCCCCAGTGCCCCACGAGTCCCCGTTTCACCGGGACCCCCGGTGACCTGTGGTGCACTGGGGTCCCTGGTGCCAGCAGCTGTGGTGCCTGCTGTCTCCAGCTCTGCTGTGCCCACGCAGGGGCTCGGCCATCGCCAAGATCGCCGGCAGCAACGCGGCGCGGCTGAGCACCTTCGAGAACCAGGTGAACATGTGGGTGCTGGAGGAGGAGGTGGGCGGCCGGCGCCTCACCGACATCATCAACACCGAGCACGAGAACGTCAAGTACCTGCCAGGGCACAAGCTGCCCCCCAACGTGGTGAGTGTGGCCCGACGGCAGCCTCTCCGCCGAGCACCAGGGCTGGTGCCGACAGCCCAGGCGCTGGTGAGAGAGGTAATAAATAGCTCTGCTGGTGTCCTGGGCACCGGTGTGTGAAGGCAGGGGATGCACCGGGCTGCAGCGGACTCACTTGCACCCTCCCAGTGACCTTGATCCGTGCTTGGACGAGCTGCAGCCCTGGCTGCTCTCGCTGCCCATCTTTGCCCCCGCTCTGGCATCCCCCGGGCTGGGCTCGAGGCCATGTGGCTGCCTGGGAGCTGGCATCGGCCACGCACCGAGAGCCCGGGGGCTCCACCATCAGCCCCTCGGCTGGCACTGGCCTCCTGGGGTCCCCAGAACAAACCCAGCTCTTGTGGCTGCTTTTGCCGTGCTCTGCTCCAGCCCCTCTGCCCTGGAAGGGGACCTCGGGGATGACTCTGTCCCCTTCCTACCCTCAAGCCCCCAGCAGCTGCTCTCAAGCCCCTGCTCCCTTTGTCCTGGGCTCAGGACACGCTTCCTACAGGCACAAGTCCCCGGTGACAGTCGTACTCTCTTCAGGTAGCAGAGCCAGACCTGCTGAAAGCCTGTGCTGGGGCCGACATCCTCCTGTTCGTGGTGCCCCACCAGTTTATCCGCAAAGTCTGTGACCAGCTCAAGGGCCACGTGAAGAAAGATGCTGTTGGGCTGTCGCTGATCAAGGTACGAGCAGGAGGAGCAGGCGCCGCGCTGGGGCATTGGGCCACGGGGGCTCAGAGAGGCTGCGAGGGGAACCCTGGTGTTCTGGAGGAGAAACTGGGCTCCAGAGTTATGGGGGGATGTGGGGAGAGTGGGAAGTGGGGGCAGAGTCTTGATGGGGGGTTGGAGGTGTCCTGGTGGAGGAGAAGGAGGAGGGCATGTGGGGGTATCATCTCAAGTGCTGTGAGGAGTGGGGTGCAGCTGAGCACTGGGAGGCTGCTGGGATGAGGGTTGCAGCACAGGGAATAGCAGGATCAGGGCGGGGGGGACAGGTCTCCAGGGGGGGCAGGTCCTCATCTCTGTCCCTGGTGGCCTCTCAGGGGGTGGACGAAGGACCAGATGGGCTGAGGCTGATCTCAGACATCATCCATGAGAAACTGGGAATCGAGATGAGCGTCCTCATGGGGGCCAACATTGCTAATGAAGTGGCAGGAGAGAAGTTCTGTGAAACAACCATCGGTAAGGAGCCAGCAGCCCTCCTCATTAGCAGCTTTCGTTTCTGATGAGCAGGAAGAGGCAAAGGGGTGAGTGTGGAGCAGCTCAAACGACTGCTACCAAGGGCGAGCCCGCCCTTTTTCCCCTGTAGGAGCTCATTCACAGGGTTTTTCCTCCGTAGGAGCTCATTCACAGGGATTATGATGTGATTGCTCGCTTCATTAAAAACAGAGCTGTGTGTCTAAAAGCTCCTCGCCAGCCTAAGCACCAGGCAGTCGCTGCCACAAATGAAAGGGGTGGACGCTGAGAGACCCTTTAGAAAACAGCATTCCTACCTTCATTTCCTTGGGCTCCAAGGGGATGCTCACCTGGATCTCGTGTTACTGCCAGCCAGGGCTGCCCGAAAGTTCATCTGGTGACTGTTCCTGCCATCCTCCACGCTGTGAATCCTGCACAGCAGCCAAAACCAACAGAAGAGTTCACTGGGTTAGAAGTTACGGGATTCAAAGTGTCTGTATTTTAAGAAAAAGCAAACATGCTGTGCAGGAGGCTGCAGGGACCATGGAGGTACAACAGAGCGTGCTATCGCTGCGAGCACACAGAAACGCTCTTGTGCAGGACGCTGAAGGAACGGGGAGAACAGCAGCCTCCAAACCCAGATCTGTAACCTCTGAAGATGCCTTTAATCTACTGGGCATGCCATTTCTGTCTTGCTTCACACAGCAGTAGGGACTGTCCCCATCTCCTGGGAATTCCAAAGCTGAACCTTGCTTATCTGCCAGGCAATGTGTGCTTGGCCCTCTGCAAATGTTTAGCAACATCCATCAGTTGGGCAATATGTTCCTCTCACTGCACCAGCTGCAGGGGCTATGCTGCAGGAACGCATCGCTGAGCACAGTCCTACCTCAGGGTCTCCCCCATCATCTTCCTCCTTCTCCCTTTGTCTCATCAGGCTGCAAGAACACGCAGCACGGGCAGACGCTGAAGGAGCTGATGCAGACCCCGAATTTCCGGGTGACAGTGGTGCAAGAAGCTGACACCGTAGAGATCTGCGGGGCTCTCAAGGTGGGGGAGCCCCTCACCGGGGTCTGGGGTCTTGGTTAGCAAAGCCTGCAGCTCTCTAGGGCGCTGCAGGGAGCTCTGGGGAGGAGGCTGCCAGTTGGATGAACTCCACTGGATGTTGCACTGTGGATTGCTGAGACCGTTGGGTCAAAAGCCAGACTTTGGAGGGAAGTGTGGATGTGTCCTGTTCAGCTGCTTGGAGGGATGACAATCACTGGCGCAGGCAGGAGCCTGTGCAGGGGATCACACAGGCAGCTCGTGGACACAGCAAAGCCCTGAGCTCTGTTGGGAACAGACCCCTCCACGCTCTTGTTGTTTTCCAGAACATTGTGGCTGTAGGAGCTGGTTTCTGTGATGGACTTGGTTATGGAGACAACACGAAGGCTGCCGTGATCCGTCTGGGATTGATGGAGATGATTGGCTTTGCCAAACTCTTCTGTAAGGGCCCTGTCTCCCCCTCCACCTTCCTGGAGAGCTGCGGGGTCGCCGACCTCATCACTACCTGCTACGGGGGCCGCAACCGCAAGGTGGCTGAGGCCTTTGCCAAGACTGGGAAGGTACGTGGGGTGGGAAGGTACGTGGGGTGGGAAGGTACGTGGGGTGGGAAGGTCCACGGAGGTGAAGGGATGCAGAGTGGGGAGCAGGCAGCATTGAGATCTGCATCAACCTGCTGAGCTGGCAGCAGGAGGGACCCAATTAGAGCCATGGCATCCTGCCTTTGCTGCCAACTGCCGCAGCCTGGCTCTGGGGAGGAAGGTGGGGTGGTGGATGGAGATGCAGGGTCCAGCTCCCTCACTGTTTGGCTGTTTCAGTCTATCGAGGAGCTGGAAAAGGAGATGTTGAATGGGCAGAAGCTGCAGGGTCCCCAGACGTCTGCTGAGCTGCACCGCATCCTTAAAAGCAAGAACGTAGTGGAGAAGTGAGTGCTCTGATCTCTCCTGTCTGCTCTTTTGGGGTTGGGGCTGGGATCTCTCCTGCAGCCGTGGGAGGGAAAACCCACCGTTAGTGTCCCTGCTGTTGGGGTGAATCTCTGCACTGCCCACATCAAACCAGCTGGGCAGGATGTGGCACCCTGCCACTGTCCCGTCTGCTCCTGCTCAGTGGTCCCACATGTTGCAACAGCAGTCGAGGTGCTCTGACTCTGCCAGCTCTGGGGACGGTGCAGGGGGTGACTTTGCTCATCTGCCCGCAGGTTCCCCCTCTTCACAGCTGTGTATCAGATCTGCTACGAGGGCAAACCTGTCACCGACGTCATCAAGTGTCTCCAGAACCACCCTGAGCACAAGTAAGTGGGCTCTGCCTGCGACACCACTCATCCTGCCAAGAAGAGTCCTGCCTGCACCGACTTGCTCTGACGCTACAGCTTTGTAAGGAGTCCGGATTTCCTGGGAGCCTTTGCAGAGTGCTGGAAGGGCAGAGGTTTGCTTTCTCAGCCCTGGACACTGCCAGCCTGAGCCTGGCATCTGCACAGAGGTACCTGCTGATCTCCCTCTCTTTGAAGGACTCGTTTAGCTTCTGCTGCTCTCTAGGGTCTGCCCCGAGCGGAGTCTTCCTCCTTTCACTTTTCTCTTGCTGTGATGGATTCAGTTCTCGGAGACACTCTGCCAGGTCACCTTGATCGATACGGGCTGTGCAGGAGGAGAACAAGCTTTGTTCTCAGCCCCATGGGGCCACTCTGCTCACTGCTGTTGCTTTTGGCTTAACTGTCTTGTGGAGAGGGCACAGCTCCCCGCCCGGCTCCACCAGGGCAAGTGAAGCTCCTCTGGACTTTCAAAGGGGCTGAGGATCACCCTTTCTAAGAAGCACTGGCACAGAAAATAGCATTCTTTTCCACCCTGCCATGTGCTGTTTCCCCAGGCGCTGCCAGCTGCTCCTGATGAACGCTTCAGCCAATGCTTCACATCTGAGGGCAGCCCCAGGGTGAGACTGTGTAGCTTGTTTATTTAGATTTTTTGCTCTCACAATCAAACCTGGCCCCTGCACCCGGGGAACTCCCCTGTTGTCACAGATTTGCCTGTGCTAATTCCATGCCCACTGACTCTCCCCGGGCAGCCTTTCTCCCTCCTATCAGTTTGTCTTCTGGCTGGCTTTGGCAGTGCAGGGGCCAACTGCCCCGAAGTCCTTCTGAGCCACTGGCAGGCTCTGCAGCCCTTGGCAGTGTTACCTGCCAAAGCAGCTGGGCCATGTTGCTTTTACATGAATGATCCACAGCAGCTTTCTGCCTTCCCTCTGACTTGCTTCAGTCTGTGCTTGGTCTTTGCTTCTTCGTGGCTTTACAGGAGCTAAGAAAGCAGGTTCCACGCTTTCCCTGCTGCCTTTCCTGCAAAGGTGCTGGAAACTGCCCACTGGCACAAGGGGCAGCCATGGACATGTGACCTGCAGGAGGTACAGGGAGACCTCCAACATCACAGGAGAGGACAGAGGTCTCATGCCTCGTGTTGTGCCTTTGAAACTTGCCCCTTGTCCGGCCGGGTGCCACGTGCCTCTCTGGTCCTCTGAAGCTGGCTCGCTCGGCCAGTGTTTGCTCAGGCCAGCGTGTCCAGCGGTTCACTGACCCTGTCTGGGCTGGCAGGCTGGAGCTGCTGCAGGTCTCACTGCCCACCCCCGTTCCAGGCCCTAGTGCCACCGGGTCTGTGATCAGCAGTGTACTTTACAAATCCTTAAAATTAATAATAAACTTGGAGAAGAGAGGGGGGACACGCTTTTTGCCCTGTGGCTCCTGTGCATCATTGTCTCTGGGTTGGTGCCTGCTGGGCTGGCTGAGCACAGAACAGGGCACTGTCAGCTCCCGCCTGGCTCCGCACCCTCCTGTGCTGTCCCAGAAACAGCAAATGCCCCCACAGGTCACTGCTCAGTCACAACACAAGGCAGTGTCCCACTTGCTTTTTCTCAGCAGAGGTTCCAGTGCTGAAGTTTGGCTGTAGGACAGAAGAGGGCTGAGGCTGCAGTGCTGAGCCGGGTACAGGATCCTAATGCTTCTACCTGGGGCCTTGCAGGAGCCCGGCCAGGACTCTGCTGTGCCCCTTGTACCCCAGGGCTCCCCTTCTCTGACGGCCTGGTTTCTTGGGACATGCCGTTGTGTTTTATTCCTCTCTTCCCAAGTGCTTTTCCTGGACTTGCCTTGTCCCCGTCTTTCTTTGAAATGCATCTTATACCGAGTGACCTTTCCAGGACCGTTCGCCCTCCGCTCAGCCTCTTGCTCAGGGAATTTAATCTGCTGGCACCGCAGTTGGTTCTGTGTCTTTTATTAGATACAGTTTCTCACTAGGCACCCTACGACCTTTAAATTCAACTAAGCTATTGTAAAGAAAGTAGCCAGAATCAGCCTCCTCTAATGAGGTTGGAGGGAGGATAAAGGAAGTCCAGTGTGGTCCTGCAGGGCTGGCACAAGTTCTGGTTCCCATTGTCTTGAAGGGCTTCAGGAATCCCAGCTCAAGTGTTGGGACATGAGGCTCACACAGGAGCAAGGGTCTCTGAGGCCTCCTCCCTCCACAGAGTACAGTCTCTCACCTTGGCTCCCTAAACTCTTCCCAGCACCTGCCTGGAGCTGCAGCAAGATCCAGAACTGTGTTTTGGACTTGCATTTAGCTGTTAGCTCCTCTGCTGTGGAAGTGCTTCATGAGGGATTCCTCGGGGCTGTGTGCTGCTGGCAGCGCCCAAGGCCCTGCAGGCCCCAGCATTTCCTGAAGGTCCCAGGTCTCACCTGGGGGTGGCCGGTGCACGAGCCTCTTGCTTTCAGACACCCCAGAGGAGCGCACAAGCTATAAAAAGTATTCCCTTTGCCATTTGGAGTTATGTTCTGCAGCCTCAGCACATCCTGGCGCTGCAGGACGCTGCAGCCACCGGAGCTGCTGCTGTGCAGCGACCTGGGGAAAGGACGAGGGAGCGGGGGGGTGGCCTGTCTCCTGCAGCCTCAGCGCTTGACAGAGGCGGTGGGGCAGAGCAGGGCCAGCACAGGGCTCCCCAAATGCCAGCAAGGAGCTCCGGGGGGTGCCAGCAGCCGCTTGCGGGGGAACGCGGCCTCCAGCAGCCCCTGGGAGCAGCCTGTCCGGCGGGGAGTGCGGGCTGGGCCTCGGGGAAGGTGGGGAGGCCTGTGGGTGCCTCAGGGCTGGTGCGGCCTTCGCTCCATCCCCTCTGCAGCCGGAGATGGTCCCCTCAGGGCCCGCCTCAGCCCCGCGCACCCCGCTGCGGTGCGCATCACGGCGAAAGGCCAGGCTCCCGGGCTGTGCTGAGGAGAGCGGGCCCGGGCAGCCCGGCCCGGCCGTAGCCGTGACCCGGCGGGCCGCCATGGCCGCCTGAAGTGAAAGAGCGCATCCGCCGCCAGGCGGCGCTGCAGCCCGCCCCTCGGCGGACTACACATCCCAGCGGGCAGCGCGGCAGCCACGTGACGGGTGGAGGCGGGGCGCTGGGCGGAAGCGAGCGGAGCCGCAGGCCGGGGGTACCGGAGTCCGAGGGCGCAGGTACGGGGCGGGGGGGACACACGGGGGGTCCCGGCGGGAGCGGGCGGGGGAGGGAGCGTGTCCGGCCCCGCTGACCGCCGCCTTCTGTTGCAGGCGCAGCCATGGTGTCCGCCAAGCAGCTGGCCGACTTCGGCTACAAGGCCTTCTCCGGCTCCATGGCGCTGCTGACGCTGTACGGCGGGTACCTGTGCGGGACCCGGGCCTACCGCATCCTCCAGCGCCGCCAGGAGCGGCAGGCCGCCGCCGGCCCCGACAACTGAGGGCGGCCTGCGGCTCGGCCCCGCGGCTCCCCGCCGGAGCAGGGCCGGGGAAAGGGCCCCGCGGGGCTGCGCTGGCGGGGGGAGGAGAGGGAGCACAATAAACGCGTGTGAGAAGGGCCGGCGGTGTGTGGTGTGTGGTGTCTGCCCCAGCCAGCGCCCAACAGCGCCCCCCTTCGGCGTAAAATGGCTGCTGGGAGGCCCAGAATGACAGAAAAGGGGCTCTAGGGAATCACGGAATTGTCAGAGTTGGAAGGGACCTCTAGAAATCATCCAGTCCAACTCCCGGCCAAAGCAGGGCTGCCCAGGGCACATCACTCAGGAGCATCCACTGGGGCTTGAAGGTCTCCAGAGAAGGGGACTCCACACCCTCCCTGGGCAGCCTCTGCCAGGGCTCTGCCACCCTCACCCAAAAGAAGTTCTTCCTCAGATTGGAGTGGAACTTCCCATGGTCCAGCTTGTGCCCGTTGCCCCTCGTCCTGTCACTGGAAACCACTGAAAAGCTTCTGTCTCCATCCTCCCTCAACCCCCCCTTTAGGTACTTGTAAACATAGATGAGGTCTCCCCTCAGCCTTCTCTTCTCCAGGCTGAACAGTCCCAGCTCTCTCAGCCTTTCCTCGTAAGGGAGATGCTCCAATCCCTCCATCATCTCTGTTGCCCTACGCTGGACTCTCTCCAGTTGTTCCCTCTCTCTCTTGAACTGGGGAGCCCAGTATATTCCAGTTGTGGCCTCCCCAGTGCAGAGCAGAGGGGGAGAATGACCTCCCTCCACCTCCTGGCCACACTCTTCCCTACACAGCCCAGGATTTCACTGGCCCTCTTGGCCACAAGGGCCCATTGCTGGCTCACGGAGAGTTCACTGTCCACCAGGAGCCCCAGATCCTTCTCCTCAGAGCTGCTTTCCAGCAGGTCCACCCCTGACCTCTGTTGGTGCCTGACATTCTTCCTCCTCAGGTGCAGGACCCTACACTTGCCCTTGTTGAACCTCATGAGGTTCCTCTCTGCCCAGCTCTCCAGGTCACACTGGATGGTGGCCCAGCCCTCTGGAGTGTCAGCCAGCCCTCCCCAGTTTGGTACCATCAGAGAACTTGCTGAGGATACACTCTGTCCCCTCACCCAGGTCATTGATTCTATTTCCTCAAGATGAAACACACCAACCCAAGTTTCTGAAGCATCTTTTAATCGGAGAGAAGAGTAAACAATGGTATAAAATGGTAACAACTCAAGAAGTTTTCCAAAATTTTGCTCATGATTGACACACAGGCCTTCTATTGCCCCCAAGTACCATTGAGTAAAAATAGAGAAGCAAAGCCTATGCTGTGGCTGCCTTTCCAGCCCTGCCATTCCTCCCCAGCTGCAAAATCACGGCAGCAACATCCACTTCTCCCTCGGAGCACAGATGAGCAGGACTGAAACATCTTATTTTGTGGCAAGTTAAACACAGCCCACCAATACTGGTCTGCCCTTGCGTCCCAGCTTAGCCAACTGTATCCAGTGGGTCTAGAAAAAGTCTTCAAAACCACAACTTGCTACAGAAAAAAAAAATAAATTTAAAAGGCCTGTATTGTGATAGTTGTCTCAGGGGCAATAAACCACCCCCCTCCCCGTTTCAGAAGGCTGTAGTTGAGACTTCAGAGGGGCTTGCAGCACCAAAAGAGGCAGCAAAGGCTGGCCTGGTCCCTCGTGACAGCAGAGATAGAAGTGATCATCTCCTTAGCACCCCGACGGCGAGGCAGAGCAACGCTTCTGGTGTAGCACAGTCCACTCCAAGCCGAAGTCCAGAGTGCTCACAGCAGGACTGAGAGAAAAGAGTCTCTGCTCCAGCCAGGGCAGTTGGGACGGGGAACTGCAGGGCCCTGCGTTCTCCGTGCTCTTTAGTGGCTTCTGGAGTGCGTGGAGGAGATCTGCTGAACCGGTGCTGGAGCAAACCATCACCAAAACGGCACCGAAGCCCTCCTGCGGCCGGCAGCCAGCCTGGCCCAAACTTGTTCCGCCTTGAGTTGAGTAAAAACCAGTTTGTCACAAAGACACCTCCGCAAATACCAACGGGACTAGGATTTAAGTACAAAATGGCTTAAAGTGAAATCTGCAGCTTTGTTGTTGCCCTAGTCATTGGCTTCATCCCTTCTGTCGTGCAAAGCCTCTGACTGGTTTGGATTGTGCCCATTGTGGATTTGCTGGAGGTTTCTGGGGAAGGGGTATCTTGATTAAAGATCACTTGGGAATGTGGAGCTCAACACATCTAGATATTTAAAGATAAGTTCGTGTTTGCTCAAGGCCAACCCACGGCCTTACTCCTCTTCTGTCCACTGGCCACTAGCCACGTGGCCGTTAATGCGGTTGGAGCCGTTACTCGAAGTGCTGAAAACTCCTTTTGTGCTGTTGGGAGTCATGTCCTCCTCTTCAGAGCTGCTCTCTACGTCACTGCGGTCATCTTTTGATACCTAAACATGTCAAATGAGATTTGGTAGCGGAAAGGGGAGAAGAGAAGTTGAAAAATTCACAGAAAACAGTAGTTAGAAGGTTGTGTCCATGTGATTTAACCAGCTTCTGTCTGCGTTTGATCCTGAGTCACTTCAAACTCACTCACAAGGAGGAGTCTGTCATCATATAAAGGATGCAAAACACAGACATTGAAAATGACAATTTGGGAATAGGGGCCCCGTTTTCCAAATACTCTACATGTGAGAAAGCACTACATCTCCTTTGATCTCACCAGATGAGGACACCACAGATCATTGATCGTTCCCTGTGTTCTAGATTGATTAAAGGCCACTTTTGCAAACAACAGATTTGTTTTGAATCAAAAAACTTTTCACACCATAATCAGCAGTGGGTATGATGACCAAAAAACACATAGATATCAGTTTTAGAGAGAACATTTTGTCCTACAGGGAGTGGCTTTGATATTTTAAAAATTAACCAGCTGTATTTATCTCATTACTGTCTGTACAAAGCGCCTCCCATTTTCACAGCTTGTGGTTCATACCTGAGAACTCATTTATGAGCAAAACCTGTTGGGACAGTGGGCTGTAGAACAAAGACAACTATCTGATCCAGCAAACACCCGTTCTGGAACAGAAGCAGCATCTCAGTCCAGAGATCTAGATCTACGTTCCAGAGTTACGGCTTTAGGTAAAAGACTGACTTGCAAATCCAGCTGAATTTGATTTGTACGTGGGATTTTGAGCCTTTTGGAGTGGATCCAGGTCAGTGCCCACTCTCGGGGTGCTGCAGGAGGGCAGTGCTCCAGCACCACAGAGCCAAGGGCTGTGGGAGGAGAAAGGGACAAGCTCCCCAGCCCAGCCCTCACTGCAAACAAGCACCTTGGCTGGTGGCCGGGAGCCAGAGCCGCGCTGCAGCACCGCCGTACCCCAGGGCAGGCTCTCCACACTAACAGCCCTCATTTACTTCACATGTGAGCACTTTGTGGCTAGAACCTTCCCAAGGATGTCAGGATTTCATTTGACTCTGCTTGCTTTGAGTCGGGCTTAGGGCTTTCCAGCAGCACCAGGCAGGAAGTTTTTGAACTCAAGGGAAGATCTGGCCAAAAGCCAGGCAAAGTTAATGATCTCCAGGGTTGGTTTTGACAGGCCTTTGGATGTACTGGCTTCTGTCTGTTGCCAGAACTTTTTGATATCTTTCCCCACTCCCCCACTATGTTGGGAGTTCAAAGGGTCACTGGAAGGAAGCAGAAATCCCTTGAAATTTTTTCCATTATTTGTGGGACAAGTAGCAGTTCTTTTGCTTTTCACAGAAAGCATTTCTCCTGCCCTCTTCCACTCAGAGTGTTAATGAATGAGCAGTAAAGACAGACAGCAGAGTCTCTGTGGCCATATAAAAGCAGAAAGGTGAAGGTCATGCAGGCAGCTGACAGCAGATAAGAACAAACCCCAGGACACTGCTTCGACCTTTGGAAAAAACTGCATTTTCACATACTGTGAGAATCAGCACTGTATCAACCAGGGAGAGAAACATTTCAAGAGAGGGCACCAGCCATCTAAAGCTCCAAGACCACAGCCTTGGACCAGTCACAGTGCATTTCAGGGAACAAACAGAAGCACAGATCACACTTACATGCAAAGGATGAAACTGTCCAGCTCCGATCTGGCACAGAGAAAAGGAGGGAGAAAAGAATGAAGAAGACAGAGCTTAGAATCCTTTCTCTGGCTAGGTCACCTGGGCAGGAGAGAACCAAGGAAAGGAAAAAGATGTGTAGACCTCAGGATACAGGAACAGCTGCACTCACAGAAAATAAGACATTGGCAGTAGCAACTGTGGGGAACAGATGAAAAGATCACATGCATACTCTGAAACATGCCTTCCCCCAACAATCACTGCCACAGACAAATACGATATAAATATTTTTCAAGGTTACATTCCATGTGTAGGGGCAGCTAAGAAGTCAAACACAAAATAAAGTAGAGCCACGAGAGAAACCCGGATCAGAATATCAGCTATCTGATTTAAAAAGCATTTGTGCTCTGAAATCAGTTGTCACTCTCTGGTAACTCAAATCAGAATACCAGCTATCTGATTTAAAAAGCATTTGTGCTCTGAAATCAGTTGTCACTCTCTGGTAGCTGCGAAGGAAGCGGCTGCTCTCGATGGGTTGGCTGGGTGTCAAATTGGTTCCTAGACAGGCCTGCCCCATCTCATGCTACTGCAGCTGAACTACACCTTTTTGCTCAGCAACAGCTCGCAGCCAAAAGTCAGCATTGTTCACTCTCAGGGCAACATTTGCTGCTAACCAGCTGCTGTAGTTCCACGCTCCCTCTCCCTAAGGCTCCCCACACAAATTAAAATTAGAATACTCAGGACTGAAGCTAGACTGCACCCCGTTAGCCCAGTGACAACCTGCAAGCTCCACTGTGTTTCTGATAACCCTTTCTCCTCTGTGTGCCACAGCCCAGGGCCCAGCCTCCACTGACAGCCAGAAGCCTGTGGTAGCACCAAGTGGAAGGTGCGTAACCCTCATCACACCTCAAAAACCAGCTGAAGGTTGAAAGCTGGAAAACATCCTAGATGATTGTTCAAAAAAGAGCCTCCTCCCACCTTAAACTCCAAACAAATACATACTAAGTCTGTCATCCTCACGATTATTACAACATCTGAACGTACTGGAAAATGGCGTTATTTCCCTGCACGGCCAGAACAGAGAGGAAGCATCTCTGTCTCTCTCCACACCCCGCAACTCGAGTCTGCAGAGCAACCAAGGTAAAAAACCTACTCTTCTACAAAATGCTCCTGATGATAGTCACAGAATGGTTTGGGTTGGAAGGGACCTTGAAGCCCATCCAGTGCCACCCCCTGCCCTGGGCAGGGACACCTCCCACCAGCTCAGGTTGCTCCAAGCCCCTTCCAACCTGGTCTTGAACCCCTCCAGGGATGGGGCAGCCACAGCTTCTCTGGGCAACCTGGGCCAGGCTCTCACCACCCTCCCACCAAACAAGTTCTTCCCCACATTTCAGCTCTATCTCCCCTCTTTCAGTTTGAAGCCATTACCTTTCATCCTATCACTACATTCCTTGTAAAATGCCCCGTCCCAGCTTTCTTGTAGGTCTTAGATACTGGAAGGCCACTGTAAGGTCTCCCTGGGGTCTTCTCTTCTCCAGGCTGAACAATCCCAGCTCTCTTGGCCTGTTCCCATAGCAGAGGGGCTCCATTTCTCCCATTTCCAGTCCCTCAAGAACTAGCACCAGCCCTCAGTGAAGGGCCCAGTTTCTCAGGATTGCTCCACAGGGCTTGCAGGAAAGAGGACCCAAACCAGTCACCAGGATTCTTACCTTTCCCCGCACGAGGGCCTTGTAGGCAGTGCGAACGATGAGGTAAGACCAGATGACATGCAAGATCTGCAAGGTTACCAAGAGCCCATTGAACAGCCACCATGAAGGATAAGGACCGATCAACTCCCAGCTTTCAAATAGGGTTGTATTCAAAATCCTAGAAAAGACCCAGAAACACATTACAGATGGGCTGTGCCGTAACACGACTCCAGCTCTAAATTAAGATGACTGGCCAGATGCACAACAGTTTGTATCTCATTTAAGCATCTGTTGCTTTGCTCCTGTCAGAGCAGCGATGCCGCCAGTCCCCTGTCAGAGTTAAGAGACAGACTAAAGCTAATTAGAAACATTTGAACTGAGCAACAAACAGGAGAAGACGTGAATGTTCTGCGATTCAGTTACACATACAGATCTGCTGCCAATTTCCTTCTCAAAAGCACAAGCATTTATAATAACTTTACAGGAAGTGATGTCAAGCGCACTGGTCATCAAAACAGCAGTTAACACATTCATACTTGGGCAGTCTTCACCCATATTTAAATATCAGGAAGGAATTCTGGTCCCAGTAGGCCTCCCTCCCTCCCTGTGCACTATTCTCTTCCCTCAGATTTTTATAGATTCCTCCTGCCAAGCTGGAGGACCTGAAGCTGCTTTATGGACAAAGCTTTGTGCTTGCTTTCATTACTGTTTTGCTGTTCTTGTCGCTGGGAGTTATTGCCAGTACTTAAGTAATTTAATAAACACTTTAGATTTTATGAAGCAGGAAGGTATGGAGAGACCTTTAAAGACGTCATTAATTTCACATAGCTTTTAACATTTCACAAGAAAAGAAAAACAAGCCTTTCAGAGAAGAACCCAAGTCCGCCAGAATGCAACTACAGAAAACATCCAGCTCGCAGCCAGTTTAGGGATGAGTTCAACGCAATTCCAGAGATCTGCTGATGCTTTATACTACCAATTAGGGAAGGGAATACACATGAAGTGGAAGAGCACAGGGTCTGCGATACCGCTAAGAGCTTGCCAGATTTCTCCACAAAGTTGAGGAATCACATTACAGTCAGTGGAAAATACATTAAAGATTTACAGGAGCGCTGAGCAATAGCATGATGCAAGAGCATCACCTCATGACAGACAGCAGCAATAAAAACAATTACATCTATCTCATCTGTCACTGGAAGGAGCCTGTGAAGACATAAGAATTAAAGCTCTTCCTTATGCAGGCTTCTTTGATGCATTTATTGAAAAACAAGCAAGAGCTTTAATTGCAACCCTGATAACAAAGTATTGTTTCTGCCTACTGTCAAGGCACCCAAAAGAATGGGAATGCAAGCTGTCCACTGCCTAGGAAATAAATATATGCAGTAAAAAACCAAAATAAACCAAGTAATAATCAGGTGCAACCAAATTTTCCCCACACTCTTTGAAGAGAAAGAAGTGGGTAACAGCTCATCAACAGAACCACCTCACCAAGCCTGACCTATGGAGGCAAGAGGGAATCTTATTACAGGATAATTAGCTATAAACCATTTAGCCAGGTTTTACCTCCCAAGAAACCCAAAACCTAGTTCAGACTGAACTGTCACGACACAAGGACAGGACACGAGCGTCATAAGAATGAGAAACTACAATGATGACTAAGCCAGATACTCAAAAATCAAGTTCATCTCAAGAGATCGTGCCTTATTTGCAACTATTTCCAAAACTTCTTAAGAGAAGCAAACAACCCTTCAAGCCTTTCAGAGCAAATAACTGCTGACTTGGCTCCCATTAACGAGCACTGTCATCACTTTGCACAGGGAAGAGAGGGACCAGCTGTGCATTAGGATTCCAGTCACTTTTCACACTCCCTCAGCTGGCTGTTGAGAGGTTTCTTGCCCCAAACAACACTCGGGTCCTCTGCAGCTTCAGGCTGCCCTGAGGAACAGGCTGCAATGCTTGCAAGGAGTCCAAATACAAAGGCTTTGCTTAAAGGATTGGAAGAACAAATAAGACTTTACAGCTCCAGGTGCTTACCAGAAAGGATAAATGCCCAACCGTGTAACAATGAATACGACACCAAAGAGCATGAAGAAAGCATCACATAGACGTTGGTACTTGGCATAATTGGCAAGCTTTGCAGCCTAAAAGAGACAAGAAAGATGAGAATATTATTTCCTTTGTGCACTCATGTAATTACCAGGCTGTAGAGCTTCAAAAACCCTCAAGCCATCACATTTGTAAGGAGTTTAGAATATTTAGGGATTATTCTCAGCACTAATGCAGTTATGAGGAAAAGCTGACAGGGCAGGATCAGTAGCACAAGTTTTGTGGCATATTTAATGCAGTTTATCAAGAATGGGAAAGTCAGCTTGCTCCCCTGAGACCACACCAGCATTAGGTACACAACGATCCGAAAGGAAACTCACCTCTAAAAGGAAATCTGATGCATCATGGAGACACAGCACCAGAGTTCCAACCCGCACCATATTATTCATATAAGAGAATGTAATGAGTCCAATTGTAGCCAAATGATGGACGAACATGATCAGGAAGTCCTGGAAACAGAAAAAAAAAAAAAAAAAAAAAAAAAAAAAAAAAAGTAGACAGATGGTGATTAAGTTTCTTTTTCTACCACAAAAAAGATAATAAATAACTTCTATAAAAAGAAAAGGACTTTTTCTTTATACCTAGGTACTGTGGCACCAGCAACACAGATCCCAAAATCTTCTTCGTATAAATTACCAGAGACTACAGCTGAACAAAAAGAAGTTTAAAAAATACTTATTGAATTAATTTACCTCCTTTTTTATTAGTATATAGTCTACAAAAGTAAATGATGTCTTGAAATATAGGAGACTGGATTTGGGCTAGAAAGGTTAATACTCAAGGGCAAGAAATAATTCTTTGAATTTGAAATCTGTTTGCAGTTCTTCAAGAGCTCATTTGGGAGAATAATGTCTAGTCTGTGACTAGTCACTCGATGTATTTAATGTTAATGGTTTGCTGTTGAGACTATTTAAATGGTCACCTTCCACATAATATTGGTTTTGCTCTCTGATTACAGCCTTTAAAAAAAAAAAAAAAAAAAAAAAAAAAAAAGAATGAAGACTCTTTGGCTGTCAAACAAATACAAAGGTTTGGAACAGAGCCACAAAACTGACAAACTGGGGTCACAGGATTACTTCAGTTCAGGCTCTGACTCTGCTTTACATAAGCACAGCTCATCATACACCATCAACCACCATCACTAAAGGTTCCAGAAGGGTCTCTCCCAGGATTTGTGCTCCTGGGATATCAGAATTCTAAACAAACAGGCACAGCACAGCCTCTTTGGCCCACACAGTAAAGATAAGTATCCTGCAGACCCCACTGAAAAGACTGACCGGATGACATACAGTCCTTGGTTTTGGCTTCTGATTTCAGTTTCACAGACATATTGTTAGTCCTTTCAGCTCTTGGCACAAATTTTAAGTCCACTGCTGTTACTGTTGTCAGTGTGCAAAAGGCTGCCAGGGCATAGCGGGCATCGAACACAATATGTTTACAGGCACATACGTTTGGGGCTGGTTTCCAGTCCCCTGGGTCCAACACTTCCATGTCCATGTACCTTCCCATGCTTGCAGTGGGGAATGCAATCCACTTTACCAAAGTCAGAGTACAAAATTAAACATTATAAACACTATTACAGATGCTGTTCATCACTCCCTTTCTGCAGCTCCAAGATATTCTGTGGTGCCTCATCTGCTAATATGTCAGAACAGAAAAAAATCCCAGGCAAACTCTTCTTTTTGAAAAGTCAGCGCAAGGATTGGGATAATTTCCTACTTCGCAGTTTGTGTAACAGAAGCAATAAACCATGATTTACTATGAACTGTTTTCCAACAGCAACAATAAGCCAAATCCTAGAACGTAGCACAATGGAATTAGATTCCAGCAATCGCAACCAGTCATCACTGTGCTACACACACAGATGAAAAATTACTTTCAAAAACCAGTTATTATTGCTTTAGTGTTTGCCATTTTCTCACCAGGCTCAGCAAGGTACTGCTTTGAACATCTCATTTTCATGTTTCCCTGCAAGCCTTCAAATTAAATCTATTTTTACACAACGATTTGATAACTTTTTATTGGGAGGTATTGAGTGATTCCGTTCTTTCCCCTGGAAGGTTAAAGGGACTCTCAAGGATACACCAGGATTAGGTTTGCTCCTCCCTTTTCTCCAGGACTGGGGAGTGATTACAGGAAGGGGGAGACTACAGAGAGATGTGAATGAGGAAGAAAATACAGTTATTGCTACACTTCAGCTTTACTGGCCAGGCACACTCACATTTTCTATTAGTCCTATCCATTTAGCAAAGTGGTTAATGCATTTCTGGTTAATCTCACCTTCCGTTTAATGTCTGTAAACTGAGAAAACATGAGAGACCAATAGAAGGCCAGCTCCAAGATATAGTAATAATAAAGCCTTGATGTTAGAGGCTGGAAAACAAACAAAGATAGCACAGTTAGAAGACAAAGTACTTTAAAATTTTCATTACAATCCACATTTTCCTTCCCTCCCATCCCACTCTGTTCCTCCAGAATGCTGAGGCTTAAGTTAAAAGATCTAGATTTAAGGTTTAGTAAAAACCAGCTTAAGCAACAGACGTCTTATTCTAGGCTTTGTCACACAAACCTACGTGTGTGTTTCAGCAATATTCCCTTGTCAACATTTACACCTCATAGCACAGCCTCTTGGATTAGGAAAACCAGGCACTGACACAGACCGGTTGGTCTCTATATAATCATACTTGTTGCATCATGAAAACAACTGTAAATAAGTCACCAGTATAATTTTATGCATCATTTAATTTTTAATAATAATAATTTTTAATGTATAATTTTATTTGAATTTTAAAAATTAATATGAAGTGAGCCAGTTTTATCTGAGGAAAGACTGCTGTTGACAAGCCTAACCGGAATGCGAAGAACATAAAGAGCAAATGTCATCTTTGTGCCTCCCTTCACTCACCACAAACCTCTCCAGGCTGCAGCCTGTGCAGCTCCTGCCCCACAGAACCACAAGGAGCACTCAAGTCTACTGAGTTTAAATCTGCTGTCATTAACAATAAAAACTGCAATTGTGCAAAAAAGTTGGAATCTATTAGGTGTTCATCTCCTACCTGAAAAGGGTAGTTGTACCAGCACTGTCGTGTGTCCCAAAACCAGGGTGCCTAAAGGCAAAAAGATGGGTTATTATTCCACTGGGTTTTTTCCTCCCTATCACCTAAGGCAGTTAATCTCTACAGGACTGTTTCACTGAAATTTTATCTTGATTCTATCATTCAGGCTACATTTATTGTAAAACATCCTAGTGATTTAAACTATTCTTTCTGCAGTCAATGCAAGTATTATTGCAATGGAAAGTCAAAGAATTATCAGACAGCTCTAATAATAATAAAGACCCAAAGGAATTAAGCTGTATCCTTTCAAGAGGAGGATGAAAAAAAAAAATAAGCAGCTCTCCATAGCAAGAAAACCCCCATTTCTGTCCCATTCTGGGGTAAATAAGTTTCTAATAGTTCCATAATGACAGACCTGTGTAGAAGCTTTCCTAGAGCATAAAGAAGATCCTTAGGTGGAAACCCCAGAATCTCACATAAGGGAACAGAAAGATGATTATTATCACTGCCCCTCCTTGCTTTAAGGAAGGGGCAAGTGCTGAAGCAGCAACACAGGTGGTCAAACCCCTCTATTTCAGCAGGACAGCCATAGCCCTGCTGACACCCCACAGAACAACGGGGGAGGGAAGACAGACCTACTCACCGTCCAGAGAAACCTGATTCCATAAAAAAATATACTTAAATAAAATGTAAATCTCCACCTGGAAAAAAGAAGCAAAAATTAAACTTATGACATAGAAAGAGCTTCTCTTTAACATTCGTAACAAAATTGGGAACAACTGTGAAAAAACCCAATTCTGACACCTGTAAAGCTTTCACCCACCAAATGGTAATCCTTCATTTGTAAACATTTCATGTAAGGATAAACCTATTTAAGAGTTTTCACAACACACATGAGTTTGAAATAAAAGTTCAGAGTGAACATGCATCATTCATATGCTTTAATATACAATAAGAAGATAACAATGAGATAAGTTATTGTTATCCAGAAGGTATCCTAATATATATATATTTGTCCCTCTTACCTTGTGGCTTTAAGTAGACAAAACCATACTGGGGGGAAGAATTAATATGAAGAAAGTTACTGGAAAGGAAAGAAACCAGCACAGAAGAAATAACAAGTCAGGAAAAAAAATATTCAGATGCTACTACACTAACAGAGGTAACTGCAAGCATTCAGAAAGAAACAAAGAACAAAAGAATGAACTGAAATGAAAAGAACAGGAATCCAAGGAGCATCTGTGTGAGAGTACGTTCACCATCACGTAAGCCATAAGGTCACTCTGTGCATGAACCAACCCGGGTGTAGAGCAGGGCTGTGCAGCACCAGCCTTGGCTTTGGAAGGGTTCCTCAGGAGGTGCACACGCACGTGAGCACACACATGCACACTGAGGTGCTACCTTTGCCTTGAGGACCTGAGCCACTACCTAAAGCTGCTCATGGCTGTCAGGAATAACTCCTGCACACGTGTTCTGGTCTCTCATGCACATATACAAATGATTTTAGAAGAATCAGTTCTAAAAAGCCCTCCTAACTTCTTTCATTTGCTTATATAAGAATTTACCTTCCACCAGCCAACCCCAAGAACCTCATTTAAATTAGCTGCTGACCACAGTATCAGGTAAAGTAGAGAACACACAGCTGGAGCTTTAAGATGAAGCCACATCTTGGCCTCTGCACAAACATACATGCTCTCACAAAATTTAGTGAGGGTGGTGGGTTTGTCCTGGTTCCTCCGATGACGAAACCAGCGCTGGATCTTTCGAACATCCCAGTCTAGCTGCTTTGACAAGCCTTCTAACCTTTTTCCATCTGGAGACTGAAGGAAAATGAAACAAGTGTCATTTCTCCTACTTCTCAACCTACTTTCAGCCTCAGATCCCCCCTGTACTATGACAGAAATAATGCACAGATAAGAAAACACACACACTAGGAAGGCTCTACTACAGACTAGAAGCAGGAACCCATTGCCACAAACGTTCATTCAAGTTTAACCTTCATAAGCCCCTAATTACTTAATTATTCAGAATGTTGTTGGTTTAACATTTCATCACCTGTTTCATCATTTGACAGCACATTATGACAAAGAATGCAATTGTTCTCTTTCTTAATTTGAGGGGAGGAGCTTTGGAAGTGTCCTGTCCTACCTGTTAAAACTTGCACATTAATTCAAACAGTCCAGTCCAGAACTCAGGAAGATCAAACCTCAATGCATGGAAGGGTTGTACTCACCACAAGTTCAGGGAAACTTTAAAGTAAGAGTGGTTTAACACACTAGATATTTGTATATTCCAAAAAGGCATCATAGAGATGGCATTATTTCCGTTACCAAAGTTTACAAATAAAATTAAATTTGAAAACTGAAATAATTGTATGATAAATAATATATCACTCTTCTCTGACTGGGAACTCTACTGGCAGTTTGTTTGAATAATGACATAAATGGATTTACAAGAGACAAAGCGAACAAAACCTGATAACTACCTCTAAAATGGCCCAGCGGTGAGAAAAGCCACATTAGTTTCAGACCAGTGTCCTTTTAACAAGCTCTGCCAGGGAGCTCTTACAACTGGAAGATGATAAACACATTTTACTACTTGAGTTGCACACAAACCCAAAAACCTATGCAGAAAGCTGATTTAATAGAGTCCCCAGACTGTTCAACTGAAAAGCAAAACTTGATTTTCAGTACCGAGACCGTGCCTTTCTTGTAATTCCATCACCATCAGACCTCTCTGCCCTTTACCAGGTTTTAGTGGTTCGGGCTACCTGACACGTCTGCATTGGAAGTGAACCTGCCTCAGAGAATTTCCAGAGCTCCCCTTTCAGAGCAGCAAAGGAATCTCTCCGTGGCATCAGTGCCAGTCTCCATTCCCATTCCCCAAACCCAGCAGCAGACACAAGCCTGCCCGTACAGTTAAAGGCAGCTCTGTTTTCATAAACTAGATAAATTTTGCACAGCGTGTGTCCTCATGGGTCTCCTAAACATTCATTTCAAGGACATCCCCTACATAAAAGTCCTCCCCACAAACAGCATCACATCAGAGGGGCTTTTCAGTTCGCACGTCACTCCAAATGGCTCAAAACTTCAATGTTCCCATGAGGCAAGTTTTAGTAAAGTTTTTATAAATTTCCCTTCCATTCCCTTTATCTGCTCCACTCAGAATGAAGTTCAGCACTGCCAAAGCAGAACATAAAACCTTCCATTTCATTATCTTTAATGAAAAATCTATTGATCTGCCTGCGTGGATTGCACTGACAACATTCAATAGAGGACAGAGAGTGTGAATTCTACAATTCTGAAGGGAAGGGGCACTCACAGCTTAAGTGAGAGAAAGGCCATGAAACAATGAAAAAAAACACCTACTGTTAACATTAAATGTCCTACCCTCTATCAGGGCACACTTCCACTGACTAGACGCTTCCCTTAAATAACTGTCTTCCACTCTGAGTGCTGTTGTTCAATTCCACAGTAAATGGAAAAAATAAGAGGAAGGCATTCACACAACTGGCCAATAAAACCCGCAAAGGAGCAGATCTCAAGGAAAACAGTAACACTTTTCCAAGAGAAAGTGAAAGCCTAATGAGAAATTTCTCTTTAAACCACGAATTACCACCTGCTACAGGAATCACAATTTGGACAAGGGTGGGGAATTAAAAGAAGCCTCATACCTTTCTAAAGAGAACGTTTTTTCTTCAAAGACAGACTCTTCTGTGCACAAAAGCACAGGTGAGCCATAAAGAGAATTTACTTTGGTACAAGGGCACGGCAGAGGCAGAGTAAAATAAGAAAAAGCACACTCATTGTGCACACACAGTGTGAAAGGCATTTCTCTCAGACTAGAAAATGGAAGCAAAAAGCACATACACACACACCCCCCGGCCCTTACTCCCAGCCCTCCATTTCTAGGAAATTTGCAGCACGACTCACCTTCGTGATGGATGTAAACACTTTCTCTAAGATTGCATTGGGCTGGGCTCTGTGAGGTCCACTGTCCTGAATGCCAAGGTTTATGGCACATGGCTTGGCAATAAACCTGAAAGAGTTCCAAAGAAAGAGGGAGGATTAAAGCAAGATACCGATTTCCCTCCTCTGCCCACATCACAGGGACCCTGATTTGGCACCAGCCACAAAACCTGTCCAAAATGCCTCTGAAGATCTCCACTCCCTTTGCCTAACGAACTGCCCAGGTGAAGCAGTACCTTGTGTTAGTCCGAACGGTAACTGCAGACCACACAAACACATCTAAAATGAAAAATTAAATCTTAATGTCCTTGGCTTGTAAGGATCAGACTGTGTGAACAGAATAATAGCTCGCTGATGGAGCCCTCTTGCAAACAGAAACACCAGAGCCCCTGTAGCCCTATAAACAAAAACCTTATTTCCAGAATGCAGCTTGGTGCCACATAATTCAGAAAAAAAGGGAAGTTCAAGTGACAGCTCCTAAAAGACACACAATTTTTTGAGGTGTGGGGTTTTGGGGTGTTTTTTGTTTTGTTTTGTTTTTTGTCTTTATTATTCCCAAAGTGGGCTGTTTCCTTCATGAGAGCGAGGAAGACAACAAGAAGTCACTCCATCTGAAAGACCCAAGATCTCAGTATCTTGCTCAGTCCTGTATTCCAATAGCTCACACCGCATATTCCAACAGCTGATCTAACACAGCGACTTTTATAGCACAAACCCTCTGAAAACAAGCCTGGTTTTGTAACTAAAATTAATATATACATGTCTAAAACGATCAGGGTTTGCCATACCTTTGTGTCAAAAGGGGCAGAGGATTCTAAGGGAAACGCTTGTGTCGCATGGATACGTGAACTGCTTTCTCTCCTGTGGGTGGGCAAGGGAGCTGGGTTTCAAGGAACATTTTTTCTTATTTTTTAATCAATTATTTTGAGAGAGAGCAGAAAACCTGTTTCTCAAAACCGATTCTGCAAAGGACCCAACGTTTGCGTCATTAAGTCTATTTTGCTTCAAAACAGATTGTTTCAGAGAAAACTGAAGACAACAAATTACACACATGTATTTCATTTACTAGACTCAGACCGCCATCAAGCAGAAAATGCTGCTTTTTCCAACCACTACTTTTGTTACCATTTCTCCCTGTGTTTAAAAGAAGAGATCAAAATTCAGGGAAATCACGACTGTTAAGTGTTCCAACAACAATCATTCTTGGGAGCCCGTTGTTAGTCCTTCAGTAACAACAGCTACGACTGCCTTAAGAACAGACACAGGTTGTGGGGTTTTCCCCTTGAGAAATGACAGATCAGCTCGTGACTAATCCTAAAGGAACTCCCCACTCTCAGAAAATACTGAGCAACTAATAGACGCTGTGGCCCCAGGTTTCACTGTCCTGCCCCGTTTCTTCATGTCCTGTTCAACAAAAAAAAAAAAAAAGGAAAGGGTGATTTCCTTTTAGCTTGGCTCGAAAGCCTCACTGCTTCCTCTATGATCTAGACCACCAGCCAGAAACTGTGTTCTGATGTTATGAAACATTTGGCCAGACCCCCATAAAAGTGTACATCTTCATACTCTTCTTTCCTACAGGATATACCACAACAACAAAGGAGTACACATGTGCAATTACAGGATGCCAAATATTTTTATTTCATTTTTGGGGACACAGTGCTTGCAGTTCTCTAAAAAAAAAAAAAAAAAAAAAAATCCTGGCCTAAAAATACTCAGTTTGGGTCAGTTTCCTCACAAAAGAGAAGAAATCTGAAACATAAGAGACTGCACATTCAATTAATTTATTATTCAGGAGAGTATTCTTTTGTTTCAAGAACAAATAAAGAAGAGAAGGAATGGTTAAGAAACTTCATAGTGATCTGATCCATACAAAGCTTTGGCATTATTCTAGTATTCAGAACCTGAAGCAACAGAATCACAGAATCACAGAATCTTCTGTCAGAACCTGAAGCATCAAGGAAAGAAGAAACAGCATCTCCTCAGAAAAAAAAATATGCAGAAATAATTCACTTTAGGACCTAGGGATTGAAAAAAAAAAAAATCCAACCCCAAAACTCAAAACTTTGCATGAAACTATTACTGAGTAGTAGGCATTCTTCACTAGCAGGCTTAGGGAATAAATACAGATGTTTCCAGAAAACAGGTACCTAAAGATTGGAAAAAAAAATAAACAAAAAACAAAAATCCAACCCCAAAACTCAAAATTTTGCATGAAACTATTCCCGAGTAGTAGGCTTTGTTCACTAGCAGGCTTAGGGAATAAATACAGATGTTTCCAGAAAACAGGGGGGTGGGGGGAAAGAGTAAGCCACAGCCTACAGATAGAGCTCAGGGCTCAGTTACTCAGTCAAGCATGCGGGTGGCCAAAGAGCAAAGCAAAAAAACACCCACAAAGGTTTCTAGGAGCACAGGAACGGGCAGAGACCGACACCAGGGAACAGACAAGTCCCAGCAACAGGGGCAGCGGGGGCAGGTCCCACCACAGAAATGGGAAGGAAGAAGGATGGCAGCAATGGATTTCAGTACTTTTAAGGAAGTCTACCCCAACGCCATAACGAAGCTTCTCTAACTCCACACGTCATGGCTTCATGCAACAGAACTGCAGGTGACAACGGGCCAGCCAGGCCAGGGGTTTATAGCCAGGCTGGGCACGGCTCCCTCACACCCATGAGTCCACTGAGCAGCCATGGGCCAACTGCTTTGACCGGTTACTACCTCGCAGGTGGAATATGAAGTGAATGATCAACCCTGGTAACAGTCAGAAAAATATCCAGTTGACACGCTGTTTCCTTTGAGTGTCCATTAAAGAAAACTCACACTTAAAACCTTTCTACTTTTGGCCCCAGAGAGGTTTTCAGATGTGCAAGTTTGGCACTGTACCCCACAGAGAAAAAAAAAGCTGCATAGCAATAGCAGTTAAACACCAAAAAAAAAAAAAAGGCTGCCATAGACTAAAACGTTGGCCTTGCTCTGAGGAAAGGATTGGACAAGGTGACCTCCAGAGATCCCCTTTAATCTAAATTATTTTATGATTCCATAGACAACTTAACTGCAGCAACTATTCCCAAGGTCAACTTACTGCCACACCTTCCCAGCAAGGAATTATCATCACATAAATACTTATATTACACTTTTCTCAACATGTATCTGCTCGATAGCTTAAGTCATACCGACCAGGCTACCTTTTCCACGGTACTTATCAAGGTAGACTGCTTTTGAAACCAACACCAATTTTCAAGCACACAGACGCCTACGTTACAACAAGCTGTTGTACTTCACAAAGCCAAAGGCTTTACAGAACATTCAAGTTTGTCTGGTGACTCCCTATTCCAGCCCTGAAAAGGAAGAACAATCTCCAAAATCGTAAGATTTATAAAAGATGCACTCAAAGCAAGACTATTTCTTTTCATAATCTCTCTGTTTCACTGTGTTAAGATTAAACCACCTCATTCCACAACTGTCCCTAATTTTCCAAGCAGACCTGATGAAGTAAACTGAAGTCACTTTTTCTCCCCCCTCCCTTGAGCTCAAGCTGCAGATCTTTCCTCAGACATGCAGAGTAACAAGCATATCTGTTACTGAAGGGCATTCCAGTGTAATTATAAACACATCATATGAATAACAGGCTCTAGGTTTTTGCAGATACCCGGGATTTTTTTTTGTGCCTGCAATGGGATAAGATGCGTAAGGAGAAATAACAGCAAGTATAACCAAGAAAAAAAAAATAATAAAAACAAACTCGTGGGCAGAACTCCTTTCTCTTGCCTGCACAAAAATCCACCCCCTACCATTGAGTCAGGACTTCATCTTCTTGCCCCATCTCCATCCTCACAGATTTCTCACGCAGTCAGACGGATGGATGTCTTACCAACACTGTGATGCAAAGGTTAATTTACAGGAGCACTCACTAAGAGAAATACGTGTCACAAGTGTCAGTGTCACGAAAGCATTTCCTCACAATGAAGTTCTACAGCAAAAGGAGAAAGAAAGAAACGAAGCTAAAACAAAAGGGCTGCAACAGTCTATAATTCAAGTTCTGAGTCATCAAGTTCGACTGCCAAATGTGTGTCAAGAAGACATTTGACACAATCATCCCCAAAGCCTGAATCAGGGTAAATGCACAATGGGATTCTATTAAGAAAAATCTGAACTTTTATGACATGTTCAAAGTGGCAGGAAGAAAGAGAAGAGCCTTTCTTAAAAAATATGGTCCTTTAAAATAAACATATTAGAAACTGGCCTGGCTGTTGCTCTCACAATCTGCTTTCACTTCAAGATACCACCATTGAGACACATCACAGCAAAGACACAGCTGGAAAAGGAAGAACCCTCTCAGGAACTGGGCCATGGTCTCTAGGTTTTACTGTGCAGGCGGAGGACTTTATTTTGACTCCTCTCTAAATTAACACTACAAAAGAAATTTCACAAACCAGGTAGACGTTATCAGGATAAAGTAATTGCTACGAGGAGGGCTGTGTCACCAGGTGTGGTAGGACACACTGTATCTCTCCTAACATCTCACACTCCAGAGAAGCCAATCCTTTGCATTTCTTCCCCAGATGAAGACACCTGGACTAAAAGGCTTGGAAAGTGAGGAGACCTTCCTGCAATATCCCTTTCAGGGGTATCGCTCTGTCTCACAACTTCCTTTCCTTGCCTGCTGGCAAGTGTGAACATTTGGCCAAGACCAGCAGCAGCATGCCAAGCTTGAGATGAGATTTTGGCACTGCCACGTGTGTCCCTGGGTCCTCTGCACTGGTTTGAACTGCCAGTACTTTTCTGTAGCTTCTTTTTTTATTATTATTTTATTTTTTGGAGGGCAGAAAGATACGATGGAGATTAAAAAAAAGAGCCTCAAATTTCTCTCCTACTCTGCTGACGTGCTTCATTTCTCTCCATTGTTCGCCCATCTTTTTACTTCATTCCCATCCCCTCTTCTCAATTTATGAAAGCTCAAGAAAACTCACACTTTTTACAGCAAATTCACAAACCATAACCAACTCGATTCCTACTCACTTCAGTCCTACAGCCCTTTTCATGCTTAGAAATACTTCTGCCCTTTCAATGCAGAAATTTAAGATTAAATC